TGATCTGCATATTTTTGAGTTCGAAATACAAATACTCAAGATCATCTACGTACATGTTAGTGAAATCAGCTTCACAAAATCTCCAGATCTGGCCATCCTGTCTTGTGACAGTAAAAACAGGATACCAAATTTTACGGAGTCTCTGAGCATCTATCTGTTTTATCAAGACAATCCTGTGCTTGGTACGTACTTGACTGATTGGCTGGCATTTAGACTTCAACATATGTCTATACTCTGTTATGAACTCTTTAGGCTTTTTGTGGATCCCTAATACTCTGTCACCACTGGTAAGCTTCCTGTGACGAATGAAAATACTAAAATAGATATCTTCAAGGTACGGCTCTCGGATCCGTTCTCGATCATAACCAAAATAATTTGCTCTGATATGAAATGGAATATAACCCTTTGTGAARATTTYTGTHGATTCAACAGTTGGCTTTGGAGTGCTAGTTTCTGGCGCAGTAGGTAGATCAGCAGTTAAAGATTCTGGAGCAGATTGTGGATCATCTTGAATAGAAAATTCTGAATCTCCTTCTTCTAAATCATCTTCAAAATCAAAGTATAATCCAGTAGTTTCATCAATATTCTCCACGTCTTCACCGAAATCCTGCTCTCCACCCAAAGTAGATGTAAATATACTGTTGAATCCTACGTTGGCTGACAAGTCCATAAGCAACCTTGTTTCTACAGTGGAGTCCGCCGGCTTTTCAACCATTGGCTCGATCGTAGGACTTGCCACCACTTCTTCATCTACAAGCATAATAGCCTCATTTATTCTTTCCCGTACAGACTCCGGGGCAGAACATTCAACGTTTACATCTTGAGGTAATGATCTTCACCCATTCTTGCACCTTGATGAGATGTCTCAGCCAATCTCTGCCTTTTCCTCTTCCCTTCATGACTATCAAGATCAACTTGATCGTCATGTCTTCGTTTAAGAGATTCGGCTTGAGACTTGCAAGTTTCTTCAAGTATAGACACCCTTTCGACAAACGCATCCATTGAACGTTTCAGATCTAGGGTATTAGATGTGATCAATTTGCTAACTTTAGAGAAATTAGCATTAATCACATCTTGAAAAGTCAAGAACTCAGAGGCTATAATAACAGGGTTTGTTTCAATCTGTTGGCGAAGAAGACCAACTAAATCAGCATCTTCAGCATCTTCACTTTGTGAAGCCATCAATTTTGCATATAAAAGCGATTTGAGCTCATCCACTGACTGATCCGGTACTAATGGTTCTGGTACTGGAGGTGGTGATGGCGCTGAAGGTGTCTCTTCCACAACTTGCTCTTTTCCCTTGATCAAACGTTTCAGACTAGCAAATTGAGCATCGAAATCGTCTTGAACAGCCTTTAGGGCACCGTTCAGATATTCCCTTGACACAAAGTCGGGTAATATAACACCTGGATCACTTAGATTACCAGTTGAAACAACAATTGAGTAAACTGCTGTGCCTACGTTCAATGTTGGCGTAATGTTAGCATTGGTAGGACTTCCGACCTGTCTTCGTGAAATGTCAAATGACATCACTCCGGTCGTTCCGGCTAGTTCACTAAGAACTGCACTTGGAGCAACA